AGAGGAGAGGGGGATTGAAAAATATGCCACATCTGGAAAAAACCAAGGCTTGCGGGGTCTCGAGAAAAGAGAGAGACAGATAGAGTTTTAGAAGGGGAAATGCTGATTGCTGCTGCTGACAATTCACAGCTCTTCTTTAAAATGATGAGAGGATGATGAAACCGTGCACTTTCAGGCCCAGAAAGCAGCATCTCACACACGCCAGTTCAGCTCTACAGTGGTTTAATGATTAAACACACACGCTGTTTCTCCACGTCGGGAACAAACAGTCAGCTCTACCTGCGAATCTAAACGCTGCGCATTTGTGCTTTGAGGAAGAGTGAGAAAAGAATGCGTTCACCTGATCAGGGTTAATAACTGAAGCGAAAACACTCACTGTGTAAGTCATACTTTCTGCTGTCACAATTGGTTACTGTTTATTGTATTAGTAATGTTCCGCCACTTTCAAATTTAAAAATTCCTTTTTTAATATTTTTAATTCTTGATTCTGATTGGTCGATCGTTGCATTCTGTAAATATATTTGAACACTATAAATTGTTATTCACCATTGTCACAGTCAATTTATTTCCTAAAATTGTGTCATCATTTTTAAACGTTTCCTCAGAGGAACCATTCTAGTGCAAAACATCCAGATATTTCAGTGATTTTACAGTAAAACCGCAGCGGACATGCTGCTCTTCTGCACTTCACACTCCAGGCCACTAGGTGGTAGCCTGGTTTATTTCATTTAACTGAGCATTACATTCGCGAGTCATAAGCATATTACAACAATTTACGCTTAACTAAGAATAATGGTCAAATTTATAACTGTTAATAGTCTAAAATAAGATCTTCATTATGATGTATGCAGCCTACAAATGTGACCTCCGGAGGATGCAGCCTTCAGTTTGAGAAACGGCCTAGTAGTGGGTTGGAGTTATTTGGGTTGGAAATGGCATGAGGGTGAGTAAATAAACTTTTTGGGGAGGAACTGTTCCTGTTCACAGTAAATAAATAGTCTGCCATTTGTTTGCAGTCTCTTTTCTCATATAATAAAATTTCAACCCAAATTACATTAGATTCAACTTTATTGTTATTGTGCTGAGTACAGAGTCAATGAAATACAATATTTCATATCCGTTTATTAATTTCTTTGCAAAGTAGCCATGTAATAAAACAGATGATGTACAGTTAGTCAGTCATTATTGCAAAATAAACCACTCTAGGGTAATATCATATCCTATTGGGATTTATTTTGCAATCCGATTTAAATGTGATATGTTGTTTCTATTGCACACACTGCAATTCAGTGAACTTTACACTGAACTGGCCCATATTTGGATCTATGTGGGTGCAGTATGGCGTCACCGTGTGTCGGGTTTGGCCCAAGTTAGGCCTTGGGTAGAGCTGAACAGATCACCCTGATCCTGCTGGCCTACTTTAGTCACCCACACACTTGTGTCCCAGACTGTGATGTGCCCTCAGATTGGGGAAAGGAGCGGGGGGTAGAGGAAATATTTGTGTCTGTGAGCGCATGTGTGAAGGCAACCGGAATGGAGCAATCGAGCTGAGATGGCGATATTTGTAGGACAGAGAGAGTCAAATTCACACAGTCCTCCCCCCACGGCTATAGCTGAGCCTTTCTTCTCAAAGGTATTGCAAGAGTCTGTGTCTGGTGTCCTAGAGGGACCATTTCTAGAATATTCTCTGGTAGACAGAGGAGCAGGAGGGTTTCTGCATAGGTGTGGCGCGGTCACCTCGTGACCGAGATCATGAAAACCAGGTTGGTGCATGTTTGACTGATCGTGGCATAATAAGAGTGATAATTATGACGAGAGGAGGGAACGCATGCATGAGTCGGATGGCTGGAGAGGGCCGGATTAAAGCGAGCCCGCTCTATGCGCTGGTTTTAGTTGCCATGGCAACTTTCATTACCTGGCACTTGGGAAAGGGGGAGCGAGAGAAAGAGGGAGAGAGGGAAGATGGAGTGGGACAGGAGAAAAAAGGAAGGAGAGCAGCAGAAAGAGAGAAAAAAAGGAAGATGTCTTGGGGAAGAGGTGACAGAGAAAGCAAAACAAGTGGAGAAAAGAAAGAAAAAAAACGTTAGGCCCTCTGGGATTCAAAGTAGAAACGTGTAGTTAAAGAATGAGGGAAAGAAATTAAGTGAAGAGGAAGGAGAGTGACTGCTACTTCCTTCTTTTACACCACATCTGCTGTTGTGTGTGTTAAAAATTAAAACAGGCAATACAAGCACACTTAATTTGTGCCAGGTATAGAATCTAGTAACACAACGAAAGAAAGCAATACTGAAGTATAGAAAAGATGTTTGTGAGAGTGTAATTTTTAAATGTTAAAATAAATAACCAAAATAAAATCCAATTTAATATTAAAATAATCAAGTTTATTATTCAGAGGTGAGCTATTAGTAAAAAAAAAATCCCCCCAAAAAGTGTACTGTAGCTCTGTGGGACTTCATAAAGAATAGCCTGGCAAAGCAAGAGCAGCTGAACCAATGGTGTGATTTTGGGGCAGGGCTAGCTGCTTGTTTGACCAGTGAAAGAGGAGTGTTCCGGAAACCTGTTTGAAAACAGTACTTTTGCAGTTCCATTTTGTTGATGCTAGTGGCACAACAATAACACATTTCGCATTTAAAAGAATTTAAATAAATTACAGTTACTTTGGAAAACGATGTGTCATTCTGAAGTAAAGCCGAGAAAGAAATAATAAGAGAAAAAGGTGTGAAAGCAACAAGGAACAGGTGACATCGGGCCTGTGTGGGACTGGGGGAATAAGAAGGTTGCCTCAGCGAGCAGAGTTCCGGCAGGTGTCACATGACCTGCTGCCCTGCACACCTGCCCGAGTGCGCTGCCAGTTGCCATAGCGACAGGGTCAGCTTTATGGAAAGCAGGGTTGAAGGTGGCGATGGTGGGAGATGGGGCTGGTTGTGTGTGTCTGTGGTGAAGAAAGCAGTTATTTTTAAAATGCTGCAGGAAAGTGTTCAAAAACCACACTGTATTTCTCTCACACACAAATCTAAACAATGGAGATATTCTGTAAGAAACCCCTTGAGCTGTGGAGGACTTAATATTAGATTCAGATCAATGAACGTCTGAATAATACACTGTACAAAGAGACTCTCTTAGCCTTATACATAGCCACCATAACCTCGGGGCGGTACTCATAAAGCCCTGTAGCACAGGTGCTGTTTAAGTGACTAAGATCAGCATTAATGTGGAGAATGCAACTCACAAATCCAAATAATGTATGAGCTGAAAAGATTTGTGCCCATAAAGATGCCAGTCTGTGGACTGGTGCAGGCAGAGTTCAGCTGGTTGCTGTGTCATTACTGCTGTCAGAGGCCTTTAAGCCTGTCAGAGTCATTCTTACTCCTGAAGTCTCATTCTGCCAAAGCAGACTACAGTTTACTGGTCTAAAACACAGACAGAATTGCTTTGCAGCTGGAATGGTGTAATTGGGGATTTTTTTGGAGCAAATTTATGGTTTAGGACTTTCGCGGATTGTAGGTTTTTACACTTATTGTCATTTTACATCAGGGCTAATATTGCAAGCTGCTTCAAAAGAGACAAACAATCATAAACTAAACAGCGCTTACCTCATTCAATATTCATGAGCTTTGTACAGTCGCAGAAACTTCACATGCTGTTTAGTGGCATTGTTTGAGAGAAAAATGAAAATGTCGAACAAATGCAATGGGAGTGAAGATGATAATATGTTATTTGTTTTTGTACAGAGCTGTTATTTGAACAATCAGTGTTACTGACCTCATGAATATGCAAATAGGAACATTAACCTAGGGTCTGCAAATGTACAGTGGGAAATCTAGAAACCTGAATTGAAACCCAGTAATACCCATTTGCGGTGGTTGTGAAAAGCCTAATAAAGTATGAGTGACAGGCCATGTTCACACTGCAAGCCTTAGGGGCCGTTCACACAGAATGCGTTTTTCCATTCCTCTACACTTCTTTTCCATTGCGTGTCTATGTAAACACACTAGACAGATGTGTTTCACCGTTGCACTTACGTTGCGGTGCTCAAGTTAAAGTAATTTCAACTTTTAAAAAATGCATCTTGAATATATTTCCCCATTTCCACTGCCTGCATCTTGTGTTTTTCAAAGCAAAAACATGTTCTTTGTAAAAGGCCCCTTGGTGCTCAATTCTGATTTATAGCTCAGGTCAGGTTTTTTTGTTTGGCTTTTAGCATTATTTTTTAAATATGGCCAATATCACATTTGAGTGTGAACTGGTGAACTGAAATAACCTGCATGCGCAAAAGAACAATAACAAAGATGGCACTCAGAAAGCTGGCCCAAATCAGAATCAGAAAGATAAGATTCCATGTGGTTTGTGCTGTTCACTTTTCACTCTTCAAAAGGCTACTTTTGCCTGCATTCTAAGGCCCTGTTTACACTAGTATGTTTTCGTTTTAAAACGCATAACTTTTGCTACGGTTACGCCTATCGTTTACACTACTCCGGCGTTTTCGACCATCAAAAACGGAGACTTTTGAAAATGCTGCAGACCCCGTTTTAGTTTGAACGATACTTCGGGGTTGCAAACGGAACAAAACGGAGACTTTTGAAAACGATGGCTTGGCTGCCCACATTCGCTCTGCGTATCCTTGACGACCGTGTAAACAATAACATCATGCTCATTGCTGTACCCATAGATATGTATGAGTAGATTCCCCATTCGACCGCTCCAAGCACGTAGATGCGTCTGCTATCTAAATATTAGGAATCTACCTATACATATCTATGGTTGTACCTGCATGAACGGTCACGTGACATGCGTTTTCGGTTGTGTAGTGTAGTGTAGACGGAGATCGTTTCCGAAACGCAGCGGAAACGCCAGTGTAGACGATGATCATTTTCATTATAAAACGCAGTTTTAAAATGAAAACGCACTAGTGTAAACGGGGCCTAAATGTAGCTATACTTTTTAAATGATGACCTTTCTTCTCTTTTTCATAATCACATTTTCTCTCTGTCTCTCTGCAGTGTTCAGATGGAGGGGCGGCCCAGGACAGCTCTTTGAAGCGGGTTGCTGTGGTGGAGGATTTTTTTGATATCATCTATGCCATGCATGTCGAGATGGGGGCAGATCCCGGACGAGCACCCAAACACGCCGGCCAGAAAAAGACCTATAAGGCGGTGAGCAATTATTCAGTGCATAAAAAATAGTCAAGACAAACTTAAGCGAAATGCTTTACTCTTGCTATAAAAGTACATGCAGCATAGGCTTCGTGTGCAGCAATGTGCAAAACTGCCCCCTATTTATTCTTACGACCACACAAGCAACTCTAAAATAGAACATCTGAATAACTATAATGAGTGGAGGCTGTTGCTGGGGAAACAGCAGCCATTTTGAAACACCTGTTGAGCCATTATAGACTATACAGCAATGTCTAAACTTTAGATAAAATAACACATTTTGTGGATTTACTCTTTGGGTTTTTTAATGCAGTAATGCACTAATGCATGCTAGCGATGCAGGCCAGCTTTTTCCGACTCGCATCCACCCACGCATGTGAAAAACAAACTAATGCAATCTAAAATCTTTTTAAACCTGAACTTGTCTGACCCACCGATGTAAGTCAACATCACTACCTCTCAAACTGTCAAACATGACAAGACCCAAGTGACAAGTATTGCATCATGGGACTTATATAAAGCTGCCTGGCTCGCCAAGCCCAGAGGAAAATTATATTGCTCAGAGTTTGCCCTTTCGTGAATCAGGACTTCTATTTTTTTAACTGAAATCACAGTTTTTATCAGGAAAAATCTAAATTGAGATATTGAATCCTCTTCATATTGAAATCTCTGACTTTGATAGCAGACTTGGGAAATCTGTGCACAGTTTCTGACTTTGCTGAGATCTTTTCTGAAACTCAGAGATACATGTGATATTACTGGATTTTTTTTTCAGGAGAGGCAGAAGATCCTTAATTTACTGTATAGGAAAAGCAATTTATTTAATATTGCAGAGATCCCGTCTGTGATTTTTCTTCGCTATGGTAGGACAAAAAATTATCATAGCCAGATGATTACTCAGTGGATTTCATTTTGGACTGAGATTCAGCTGCGTTTTAAGTTGCCCAAACTGCAGGTATGAGTCAACCTGTGCATCACCTTGGCAAACCTTTTGTCTCCAGTATACCTCTCTATTTTCCGTCATATTCTTTCTTTCTCTGACTGTCTGAGAAGTCTGAGAGGTCTCAAATACTTAAGTGTCAGACAGAGTTTTTGTATGATATTTAGTGGAGAAAAAGCACTGACCATTTTTGGTTCATTTCAAAACAACTCTGTCCATTTTTTTTTCTACTGGTGCCCATAATAACGAGTGCTTTCTCAACCACTATTCTTAGGTGTAAAGGGAGTTGTGTGTGTGTGTGTGTGTGACTCACCTCTCCTTTATCTGAGACACTGGTGAATGAAGTAGGAGGAACAAGCATAAATGAGTTAGCGACTGAATCTGAGGGACCAAATACACTCTCACTGAACTGTCATGCAATGCTGTGAGAGGGATTTCATATCACATGCCTTTATTCTTGTGCAGTGTAATTTCTCTATGAGGCTTCACTGGAGTGTTTTGTGTAGTGTGTAATTATAAACAGGCTATTATGTTTCTTAGCACATACATTCAGCATATGTGTTATTGAGTTATTGTGTTGCTTATTATTTGATAATGAGGGAGAGAGGAAGTCGATATGAAGTACAACCTAATGCAGAATTTAGAATCTGATCAGGGCCGGAGTGGGACTCATTTTCAGCCCTGGAGTTTCTTAGACCGGCCCACTTTGTTTTAGTTTTTTTTTGTTGTTGTTGTTTTTTGTTTTTACTGGCCTTTTCAGTGCCGCCTTTGCGCTTTCTATTATACATTTTTAGCTATTATTTTTTGCTCGCATATCTTCAACAATGACTTCTTTTTTTTGAGCAAGGTTCCGCTGTCAGGGGAGTCAAAAGATAATTACGTCATCATTGCCAATTAACATAAGAAATGGAAAATAAGGGACAATTCTGATTCTTTATCTTATTCTTTAAGAAAATAGTGTTTATTCTTGTAGAAAATAAGTGTTTATTCTTTAAGAAAATAAGGGACAGAATAAGGAACGTTCCAAATATTTGTACTGTACCATAATGTAGGCCTAAGTCTGCCTGCAGTTAAAAAGTTCTCAGAAATAATCACAATTGTTTTGCTTAACCCGTTTATGTACAATTATTCTAAAAATTATTTTAAATGTCATACAAAAAATGTCATCGGCCTGAGTAAATTGTACCATTATAGAATTGTGACTTCACACGTGTAATTGAGGAGGTGAAAATACTGTGACGCTGTGAAGCGGGAGCAGCCGGCAGAGAATTCCACTTGGTCAAAGCACCGGCCCTCGCAGCCAAAAAACAGACCAGCCCACCGGGAATCCTCCCGGTGCTCCCGATTAGCCAATCCGGGCCTGAATCTGATCCAATTAAATCAGAACACACAGACTAGACTTGACATATATTCTTCAAAAGTAGGTAGGGGTGCAAGTGTGTACCGAGTATGCTTGATTATGCTCCCTTGTGCTGTGATTCCTTGGTGTGTGAAAGCAGGTGTCGGGTTCCAGCCCCCACTAAGCTCTGTGCTAATCACCTAATTAAAGCAATTAACTGTCTGATAGCCATGTTTTTGACATTTGGCACACATTGAACCTCTCCAAAACTGCTGGACTGTCAGACAAGTAAAGATCAGTGCACTCTAAGTTCTCACCCGATTGGCTGCGACCTTCAGAAATCAGCTGTGATGGGCTTGATTTGCTCTGGTTGAACTGACTTTCATTGGCTGTATCCAGCTGCAACTGACTCTGATTGGTGGTGTCCAGAATCATTCTACAGTTTTACATCCGTGGCCCTGTCCCAAATGCTTTTGACTCAAGATTGTCCAAAGTTATTACAGATTAATATATTATATTAATTATTTTGATTAAGTAAAATATTATACAACCTAAAATAATAATACAAATTATTTATTATATTTATTGTAATATTTATTTTTAGGGGATTCTACTACTGCTATTGATAATAATAATTAGCAATTATTTAAATTAAATTATTAAATTAAATATTTATTAATTAATTGATATTAATTATTTTGATTATATATTACCAAATAATCTAAATTAATAATAAATCTTATTAATTATTAATTAATAATATTTATTAATTTTATTGTAATATTTTAAGAGGGGACTAATAATAATAATAATAATAGTAATTGCATGATTAATTACTGGAAAATTAATTAGTTTGATTCTATATTGTAATACAATCTAAAACCATAGTACCAATTATTGTTATTATTATTATTATTATTATTATCAACAACAACAGTAATAATAATAATAATATTTAATATTATGTAGGTAACCCCTTATGCACTTTCAGATATGCATATAAATCAGCTCTAGATAATTACTGTGACTACAGAAAAGACCAAAAATAAATAAATAAATTAAAAATCAAGATCACCCTTCCTGTTCTGACCCGACACCGTTTCATACTGCTGATGTCTGCATGCTGCCCTCTAGTGGTGGCATCACAGGACTGCAATGATGTTCTATTGAGATTGAGACCACTGAATCACACCACTACCTGAAATTCTATGCATTACTATGCATTATTACTTTTTTGTCTTTTTATTATAAAATTAAATGCATTTCTGTGGCTTTGAAATGTTCCTTTTTGTGTATAAACAGTGTTGTCATACTGAACCTCAGCTTGTTCTCTCGAAGCAGAGGGGGGGGGCATTCATTGGTTTGGCCACACACAAAAAAAGGAGCACCCCCATTACTAAAGATGCAAAAGATGTTTGTGTATGTGTGTTTTGGATGTGTGCGGGGGTGGCAGGGGCTGCACAATGTCCTTGGGGCAACGTTCACTCCCTCTCCTCAGCCAGTGCCCTGGAGAGCCCTGCTGTCAGGTCTCATAGCACAAGCAGCCCACAGAGACCAGCCCTGCCAGCCTGGGAGGAGGGGGCAGTCTGGGAGCATGGCATTCTGGGAGGTGCGGTTTTCCCTGTGTGGCCTTTTCCCTCTGTGCCGCCTAAGAGGGGAGGGTGGTGGGCCTGCCATTCCTACTGCTCCATCACCCTCTCTGTGTGAAGGTCGCACACAGAAAGCCTGCAGGAGAAGAAAGCAAGAGCAAAAGAGAGATGAGACAGGGATAGAAACAGACCAGAAAAGAGAGGGAAGGGAAAAGAAAACCGAGGCATTGCAAAAGAGACATGAGTTTGTATATTTTTATTTATGTTGTCCCTAGTAGGAAAATGAATGTTCCTGAAAGCTAGTGTGCTGCCTTGCTCCCTACACCCCGCAAAAGCAGCTGCCTTCTAAGTGAACAGCCTTCATGTTGCAGGCACACTTATTATGTATTTAAATTTTATCCTCAGTAGGCAGCTCAGAATACAATAACTTATTTTTGTCATTATGCTCCCTCGTTTCAGCTTCTCAGTTTGTTTAATCTCCCCCAAAATGCTTGCTGACTCCTTTCCACTCTCTCTTTTGGTTGTCAGATTGCAGAGACCTACGCATTTCTTCCACGTGAGGCGGTGACCCGTTTCTTGATGAGTTGTGGAGAATGCCAGAAAAGGATGCACATCAACCCCAGCACAGCAGAGTTCAAAGGTCAGACGCCATCCTTGCAATTTCATGTCTAAATTTGCCATTTTTAATGGTTTTGAACTGTGCACACGAATGTACCGCTTAGTAAATTGCTTGTTTTTGTTCATTTTATCATTAATTAAAGTTTTGGGAGTGCATTGCCCTTTAGCGGTAATTAGGAAGACAAGATTTCCAAAATCTTCATTAAAGTCAGACTCTTTTTGATGAGCCACAGAGGCAAGACTAAAATTCTGCACTTCTCCTGGCCCCTCGTAATTAATGCATGGATAATCCGACCCACGGACTTCCTACAGTAAACATCAGATTAACAAAAAAAGAATGAAAAATAATGCTAAAGGAAAAACACAAGCAATCCTTCAAGACATGATGTAGCAGACGCTCATGTGATGACCTTCAAATATGCCTTCTATCTGGATATTTGCATCATTATTTAATTCAGAGACAGTAGTGCTGTTACAAGTGAAACTGCTTTATTATTGTCAGTGTTTTATGACTTATTAAATCAGCAGCGCAGCAATAAGCACCTTTACTTGAACATGAATCAGAAGGGATTTGTAGAGATTGGGCCATTTTCCTACAGCTGAGATATTGTGCTCTATATGCTGTAAGTCAGCTATCTGCGCAGATGTGACGTCGGTCTGCCATTAGTCACAGGCTGATGTGACTAAATTCACACTGCCACAGATGAGCTTGATTTCTATGAACTGAAATGAGCTGAAAAAATATCATTCACAAATGTGTAAGCTAATTCACATTCACTAAAAAGTTGTATTTGCAAACAGCAGTTCACATGCTCATAACGTAATTCATGTTTACAAAATATGATTTGCAAATGCAAAACTATGCATTTGGAGAGAATGAATGTTAAACAAACTTTGAATAGTGAATTAGCTGATCATCTCCTGCCTGCAGGGGTTTTGAAGGGTTGAGTCATCCCTGCTTTCCAAAGCAGTTTATAGAATAAAAATTTGCTATTGAGCTGTTCACGCTATATAGCGGCTGGGAACCCTGTAGAGTCAGAAGATGTGTGTCCAAACAAAAGCCTGTCTGCGTTTATTGTGTTTGATTTTAACAAAGACCCGAGGGGGTTTCAGCAGGGTCTTTTGGAGCTTTGTCTCAAGAGCGCCTTCTAAAGGACCGAACTGAGTCATGCACACTACTGAGAATAGGATTGAGTGAAACTATATTGGCTTTCAAATTAAACAATTACTTGTAGGACATGTATTAAAAAAGGAGTCTAATGAATTAGACACAAATCTTCATAAGTAATAAGCTTTTTTACCATTCAATTTTAGGGTTAACAAGGAATTTTTTTTTTTTTAAATAAATTAATACTTATATCCAGCTAGAATGCATTCAATTGATCAGAAGTGACAGTGAATACATGTAGAATGTTTTAAAAGATTTCTATTTAAAATAAATACTATTCTTTTGAACAAAATGTATCTTGGTTTCCACAAAAATATGAAGAAATGTTTCCTTAGCAATAAATCAGCGTGTCAGAATGATTTCTGTAGGATCATGTGATACTAAAGACTTGAGAAAGGGCTGCTGTAAATGCAGCATTGTATCACTGCAATAAATTACATTTTAAAAGACTAAATAGGTATTATAAATTGTAATACTATTTTATAATATTTCTGTTTTTACATGCATTTTTCATCAAATAAATGAAGCCTTGGTGAGCATAAGAGATGGCTTTCAAAAGCATAAAAAATCTTACAGTCCTCATACTTTTGAACAGTAGTGTAATCAATCAATCAATCAATGTGAACTTTCATTTGTTGTTTTTCACCCACAGAGAACGACCGGCCCACCTCTCTGGTCCCAGACCTCATCGATTACAACATGCCTCTCACTGCCACCTATCTAAAACAGATGAAACTACAGTGCATGAACACCAATGAGCAGGTAGGTAGGTAGAAGCCAAGCAAGCGAGTGAGAGGTACAAAAGCATGGAGATGCTTTGTTTTACAATCCTTACAAAAAAATGTCAGTTTGGTTTTGTAATCACAAACATTGAAGTTAAAATAATTTTGTGTTGAAGTGATGTTTCCAGTCTGTGAGTTTGCTGACAGCTCCTAAACCTGACTTTTAGAGACAATATATGATGCTAAATATGCCTCAGTATCTGGGCAAAGAATTTAATGTAAAAGTCACCCAGCTCAAAGGTACTGCGACAAGGCCTTATGGTGCAATGTGTGGTTGTCAAGGTAAGCTCTTATAGACATGGTTGCCTCAGCAACAGTATATGTGATGCCTGGAATAGCAAGAGCTGGATGTGTCTGTGGGTCACTGTGCTATATAAATGGGGTGATGGTAAATACACAACTCCCATCCTTGTGAAAGACAGTTCCTTATAGCACTGAAATACACTGAAGTACATGGATGTAATTGTATGGCTGAAAGTAAAGAGCATGTTTGTAGAATATCTTTAGAATAGCTAAAGATACGCCAGGGCACATCACTGGGTCAAATGCATTTACAGCTCCCTGAAAAGCTGTCAAGATTTTTTTTTCCAGGATCACTTTAACTCATGTCTGCATCTCATAACACAACATAGTATAAATGACAGTGCAGTTAAGAAAGCTTGCTAAGATTGCATGCAAAGCGTGAAACGTACAGAGGTAGGTCTATAGGGCATTTTATAAGCATGTACCTGTGACATGCAACATTATCCTTGTCCAGCTTCACTGAATCTGACCTTAGGTTAGAGACATCAGCCGTACTGGAGAAACAGGAAAACCTTCATAACGGGCCTGAATTAATGTTTTGTTTATTTGATTTGATTTGATTATTTTAACATTAAGGAATATTTTAATTTAATATAAAATGCTGCTTGGCATTTAAATGTGTTCGAATAGGCAGTTCTTATTTATTTCTTTATGAACCAAGCCTGATAACTGCAGTAAACACTCCTATACAAGTAGGAATATAGGTGGGTAGGTACAGTATATTCTAGTAGGTATCCTACAGGCCTGTGGGTGGGGGGCGCCATTGTACCAATCTCTATGAAATAAAAATAATCTGTACAATTTGTTGCTTGGAGTTGGATGATTTTCCACAGCAGAAAAAGACAAAAGACATTTCTGGGAGGTTAGCTGAACAGCATGTTTTATCTAGAATTGTTATATTTGTTGAAAGCTATTTGTCCTCTGTATTCAAAATAAGACAAAATCTGATATAATAAGTATATGTAAAAATGAGATGTAAAAACTGACAGCACTATTATTTCTCTTCATGTCATGTGGCAACCAATCAGATAGCACAGATTGAAGATAGTTTAGAGTGTGTTATTCTATTTTATTGCTTCTTTTTTATGTAATTCACGAAACTATAGGATGTGTTCTGGGATCAACATTCCTATCAACCAATCAGATTTCAGGGCTAAAGTTAGGATTAGGGCTGCAGTATGGTCTCTATCTATATTCTTATCAACAAATCATTTCTCTCAGACTATAAGGTAGGTTATGGTTAGAAAAGTCTTACCTTCTGACAGCTCACCAACGGGCCGTCTGTTGTTCAGTGACTGGCTGATGCATATTGCACTTTCTCCATCTGGCATGCTCAGTTTTAATTGGCTGGATTTACGCAACTTCTGGAGTGGGGGCACACAGGATATTTTTTTTTTTTGTTAGTCCTTCAGGAGACAAAGGTGCCGTGCTGATACAATGAATGCTGTTGAGGATACAATAATCACTGGATTAGTCAAAGTATGCAAGGTTAGTTACATAAAATTTGTAAAAGATACTTTTTTGTAACAAGTAAACTAGTTATCCCCGTAGAGGACAATTGTATGTTATTGTATTATTTGTTTTCAGAGCTACACTACCATTCAAAAGTTTGTGGTTGGTACGATTTATTTATGTTTTTGAAAGAAGATATGATCACCAAGGCTGCATTTATTTGATCAAAAATACAGTATAAATTTTAATATTGTGAAATGATATTACAATTAAAAATAACTGTTTTCTATTTTGATTCTATTTTTAAAATGTAATTTATTCCTGTGATGCAAAGTTGAATTTTCACCAGCCATAACTCCAGTCTTTATTATCACATGAACCTTCAGAAATCATTCTGTTGTGCTGCCATGATAATTTGTCTTCAGGATTCTTTGATGAATAGAAATTTCAAAAGAACAGCATTTATTTGAGATATCATTTTTTGTAACAATGTAAAAATCTTTCTATTAGGCCTACTTTTGATCAATTTAATGCGTCCTTGCTAAGTACAAGTATTAATTGTTCATTTAAAAAAACTAACTGATTCCAAACGATTGAATGGTAGTCTTTCTCTTTTGTGCCTTTATACCTGCGTCTGCATTGATCTTTTCTTGTCCCGGTCTTTTTTCCCCCTCTCTTTCTCATTGCTCGTGTTACTGATGCTCCACTTGGTACCTAATGGAGTCAGCAGCGCACACATCAGCCCTCTAAACAAACCTCAGAGGAACCAAATTTCTCACAAGACTAATCTATGAATCACATGAATCCATGTTTACAGTATGCACATGTGTGTATGTTTGCACATGCTAGTGTTTTGGTTCACAGCTGTACAGGACAGCATCAAATCACATTTACGAATGAACACCTGACATGCTATCAGTTCCATTAGCTCCTCTGTGGGGTCCCAGGATGTTTTAGCTGCGTCCCAAATGACGCACTATACACTATGCACTCATACACTATGTACTTAAGCACTATGTACTCAACCATGTAGTGTATGAATTATATAAGGTTATTTTGTCATTCATAATCGGAGTCTGATAGCCCTCCCACTTCGCTACATAATTAAAGCTGCGACAGTTGAGTGCATGAAGTGTCCAACATTCCACACACTATGTTTTTTCGGTTATTTAAGTGCATCATCCAGGTATTTAAAGTGCACTTTTTATTTTTGGAATTTTCAGTGTGAACACACTACTCGCACTATTTATACTACAAAACGTCATAGAATAGTGCATAAGTACGCGATTTGGAACGCACCTTTTGTGTCAGACCTCTTTCCTGTTAGCAGTGCATTGCTGAAAACGGGAATTGATCCTGTGAGTGTTTTACATGGAGAGACAATTCAGTGACAGTTTGGAGGTGAAATCATAGCGACTTTTCTTCTCTCTCACACACGTCTCCATCTACACACCTGCATTTCTCACCTCCTCTTGAGCCCCACTGATGATTACATTCTTCCAGCCTGCTCTACTCTTCAGGTTACCATGGAAACAATAAACATGGAATCAGGGACACATCCTGTAGCGTGGAGTCCGGATTTGTTTGTTTGTATGTGTGTGCGGGGAGAGAAAGATTCTTGGTAATGTGATGCTAAATAAATTGAGCTTATTAGGAATGTATGTTTATTTGTCAGGGCAAGTTGAAATATTTTACTAAATAAAGCTGAAAATGGAGTAGTTTAATGCCCAGGTGCTTGAGGGTCTTTTGGAGAAACAAGTAGATTAATTAAATTCCATGTTCAGGGTGTATTAGTGCAGAGGGGGATGGTTGGATAGTGAAATGAGGGGTTTGTTTGTGCTAAAAATGAGGAAGTGGCACACATGGGTGGGGGTGGATGCTAGTCTTTAACGCAGCGGCTACAAGATTAGCATTGGTATTGTGAGGGTTTGATCTGAGCAGATGGGTGGCATAGGGTGTATTATGGGTTTTTCTGGACCGGTTGGGGAGGGGAGGCAATGAAGAAAACGTTGATGCTAACTTTACCAGAAGCACTAGAACCTGCTGCAAATCACGGTGAACTTTCTCACAGCTTCATTGTCATGACAACAGCGGAGGTAGAGAGGTGTGTTCATGCCTATAGCGTAGGTGAAGGCAAGGGTTACGACGTGATTTGCTATGCCTTCAGCCTGCTAAACATGGACCAGCGCTTATTCTGACATATTCTGACAGATGATGGAGATCATATTTAAAAGAAATTTATGCTGAAAAAATATTTGGTCTTTGATGATAATTAGTTTTGATTAGAACACACTGATGAAAAATATATGCATAAGCATAAGCATGCAGTAACAATATTATTAAAAGAAGAAAAAAAACATCCAGGAAGGAATTAAGAGCTGAATACTGGTAAAACTGACTGTTTTTCCTTAGATTTCACAATTTGAACTTGAAGTAAGTAGCTTGATAGTCAGAATACGGTGTGCTGTAACAGCGTGTTATAATGAAATTAGTTTCTAAAAACAGCCAGTACTTCAATATACTCTTACTATGCAGCTTTCACATGATATTTTATATTAATAAATACTATAGCCTGTTATGGTTTGACATATTTTGTGCTTTCTGTATATTATTGTTAAAAAATTTAATTTCACGTTTTATTTTATTTGCTTTTTAGTAGTTATATATATTGCTTTAAATATTTTAGTTTTAGTCATTTTAGTACTACAACTTGAACTACAAATTTCAGTTCAGATACTTCTCATTTTAAGTTTTTCATCTAATATTTAAATTTTATTTTTAAGCTTTTTTTGAATTACCAAAAATGTTTTAATAGTTTTTAGTTTTAGTTAACACCGGCAAATGAACACTGCTGTGAAAGCATAAATACATTATGTGGATTTTCACACAGTTCCAAACTCTAAAGACAAAAATGTGCATGCAGTGAACTGTTTGTACTACAAGTTACTCTGTAATTCCCAACCATTGTGTGATTCCTGAAGAAAACAATACATCTCTTATGCTCTTCTCATGCTGTGTGTGCATCTTTTGGGTTTTGGTTCCAACAGGGTTAAAAATAGCTCCCTTCATAGTCACTCATTATTTAAGAGTCTCCTCCTTCTGTCCCTTTCCACCCCCATCCCAGAATGTGGAGTTTCCTCAAGAAAGGACACACTGGGATGATAATGGACTGAGGTAAAAAAGAAAACAGTTTGTAAAGTGAGGTGTTGCTTAATTTACATCTTACATATAGCATCATGGTTGAACCAAACAGGAAGTGCAGGAAAGAGAATGTTTATTTTGACCCAGGTTTGAGGACTCTGGCTGTGGAGGAGATGTGGGAGAATCTAGTGATGTCTAGGCGATAGTGGGGTGGGTGAGCTTCATTTTGTGCACAGAATATCCTGAGCTCTCTGACTTCCTCCTCCCCCATCTCTTTCTCTCTCACACACATACAGGATGAGAGTTCGGTAAGCAGTGAGGATTTGGACATGGCTGAGCCCGCGTGGGTCTCTACTGAGCGTGCTCCAGCCGCAGAGCCCAGCAGCCCCACCGCCCCGTACACAGAGAGGATGCCTACACCCCCACAGCCCAGCATTAAAGAGGAAGAAGGTATGATGTCTCTCTCTCTCTCTCTCTCTCTTTCTCTCTTTCTCACTCACACTGTGTTTACGTAGCTGTACATTTCGTTGAAATAACAGCCACCTTTTACGGATGTTTGCCAGCATTTATCAGTGAAGACTTTGTGCTGGTGAGAGTCTGATAAGTGTCTTGTAAAGCTGATGTTGAAGAGGTGCCTGAAGGCCCATTATAGCCCTTTTCCCAGCACTCCAGCCTCTCTCGCTCTCTTCCATTACGCTCTGGACAGATGCCGGTTAAATGGATGTCTGGGGTATGCGGAGCCATGCCAACACAGCCTTATTTTTTCATTTTGGTCTGTATGTGAAAATCTTCAGTGTGAAATTCTATAATGTATGCCGTTCTCAATTGTCTGGGCTTCTGTGATAGATAGATAGATAGATAGATAGATAGATAGATAGATAGATAGACAGACAGAAAAATTGATAGACAGACAGACAGACAGACAGATAGATAGATAGATAGATAGATAGACAACACATTATGCACTATATATATATATATATATATATATATATATATATATATATCAATACAAACAGTTAGAAAGTGTAAACATTATAGACAAAAGTACATATTACATGACAAATTTAAGGACATATTCTATACTTAATCTGAATCATATCTATATATCTTCTCTATCATCTGTGTTATTGTTTATGTAAGCAAAATTCTACAAATTCTATTTGATATCTATAGATAATATAAAAATCATTATAAATAATATAATAATCTCTAAAGCAGAATTTATGGCGTAATATTTGGCCAAGGCTCCCATATTTGCAGATGAGGGTAAACAACTGCAAGGCTTCAGGGTTGTTGACCCTACCCCCTATTTTGAATTGAACACACTTCCTTCTTTTCACCAGCACTCGCTCCCTCTGTCTTGTCTCTAATTCAGCTGAGTGCAGGGGTCTGGGGTGACGTATGAATGGGGCAGGAGAGAAGAATATGAGGGCAGGGGGAGGGGGACGTGGAAATGTTTTTTAAAATGACTGCTGGGACAGTCAAGGGTCTTATTGGGTGGTAGAGAGGGAGGAAGCAGCCTGGGTCGCTTCTTTGTGGGCTAATCCCGTGTAATCTTGCTCTGAGGGGGCTGCAGGGAACGGCTTGGCCACACACACTGATGCGTGTCCGCTTACTCCATCATAAGGAGAGAGAAAGTGACTATAGGGCTGTGCACATGCTCAGTGCACCTTACCCTTGACGGACAGCTTTAGAGGCCCCTCTGGGAATTATCCTAAAGAGGGATGATAGTATTTTAGGAATGGCTGTCAGAGCTGTGATCATAAAGGTTACCCCTCTTGACATCGTAAGCTTGTCTGGTTTTAGCATGTTTGACTTATCACGGTCTCAGAATCAAAGTAGAAATACTGTTTGTGATTGCACTTATAAAAATGTTAAACAAAAAAACAAAAAATGAATGAATATCCTTAAAAATTAAAACATATATATTATATAATTGAATTGAATTTAAATTATAATATGTAAAATGACTTAATCAACCTGACATTAGGTTACATCAACATTAGGTACAGCAATCAAAGTCTTTTTAAGGTTGAATCAGTTAGAAATATTTGGGGTCAGTAAGTTTGATTTTTTTTCGAAGGAAATTACTACTGATTCAGCAAGGATGGATCAAAAAAAGACAGTAGATACATTAAAAAAAATGCTGTTTTGAACTTTCTATGCATCAAATTATCCTGAAAAAATATATCATGGTTTCCACACAAATATTAATTAGCACAAGCATTTTGTGTTAATTGTTTTTTTTAAAGTACCAAATCTGAATATAAGAATGATGTCTGAAGGATCATTTGACACTGGAGTAATGAAAACAAAGACTTGAGTAATGGTTGGACTAAAAATACTGCCAATTTATCCTTTACTACACAGATTTTTGTCCAATCAGAAACTTACTAGTTCATCCAGGTCCTTTTTTTCTTCTACTGTTTAAGAATACTGGAATACTGTGAATTCAGACATACACTTTTCACATACTGTTCTTCGCCTACTATATAGTAGGAAAGGGTGAATGCAGCCTATAATGAGCGCCAGTGATATGTCCCTTCCAAACTTATTGTTTCAATAGGAAATATCAACAGGTGAAAAAAATGAGTATTTGACCCTTGACAGTGCTGTTTAGGTGGAGCAAACACATCCAGACTGTCTGGGACTGGTTTAGATACAGCTTTTATTCTTGTTGTTATCATGCGTGTTTTCCCACAGACACACTTTTGTAGGCTACCAGTACTGCCCTTGATTATTCAAATCTGCTTTGTAATTTCAATGTCTGCAGTGTCTAGTGTGGTTGTTATGGGATGTGCTTATGATCCGCTGCATGTGTTTTGCAAAATAATGAGGCTTTTTCCCCATCCTGTACTTTATATAAATGTGACCGTGCACTAATGGATCCCTCCCTTGACTCACGGCAGACTAGCGTGCTGTTAAGAGCCACACAGGGCAAGAGGATGATGATTTAACCCACACTCCATCATCAGAGAGAGCCGTCCTTTTAGTTGTTTATGCCATTAGTTCCTGACATACTGTATTGTTCATTTAGACCAATTTCTTGGTCCACGCAGTGGGCCTCAATGTCTCATTGGATAGCTAATAAATATCCTAAAATATGGTTAATTTAAAACAAGTACATTATTGAAAGTAATTTTAAAGGACATGTAGAAATAGTTCCTTTACGTAAGTGAATGTTTCTACTTTTTACCATGTCAGTTTAGTAATCAAAATTGCATAAAATATTTTTTTTTCTTGCTTTAAGCATCTTCAATATACAGTATATCTTCATATATATATATTTTACAGTTTCCAGTGGCATAAGAAAACTGAAGTTATTATTAAAACCTTACTATTTTTTCTAAAATAAATTAACCTTTTTTAGGAATGTTTATTCTACTGTTCAAAAGTTTAGGGTGAGTAAGATTTTTAATAAATTAATACTTCTATTCAGGATGCAAAGTGACAGTAAAGAATTTATAATGTTACAAAATATTTAAATAAATGCTTTTCTTCTGTTTATCAAAAAATCCTGACAAGTTTCCATAAAGATATGCAGAACAAGAGGCATTTTAAATTGTAATGGTATTTCTGTTTTACTTTATTTTTGATAAATAAATGCAGCCTTGGTGAGCATAAACGACTTGTTTCATAAACATTAAAAATCTTACCAACCCCAAACCACTGAACAGTAGTGCACATATTTTTACTGGAAACAAGACTAAAATTGCATAACATCTCAGTTTTTTATACTCTACAGGGGTTTAGCATGTCACATCTGTTCTCACACCCAGCCCACTCTCTCTCTGAACTGTTGCCTTCTGGCCGGCGCTACAGAGCACTGACCATCAGAACAGCCAGGCACAAGAACAGATTTTTCCCGCAGGCTATATTCAGCCTGAACAATTAAACTTTTATAATTATACATCGTCCATGACAACTGACATATTTATGCACAGAATCTTGTAAACTGTACACTTTGTAAATAACATATCTGCACACTTATAACATATCTGTATATTTATTTAAACAATTAAATTTTTTCCTATACTTCTATTTCTTTATGTAGTACATTATTTAATTTCTGTTTTTTTTTTCTTTCTTATATTAGTGTTATATTCCATCCCTACTGTGTTATTCTTATGTATGTCTGCACTATCATGTATGTCTGCACTATGTTTGTACTTTCTTCTACACTGGCAGCTCCTGTCGTCAAGTCAAATTCCTTGTGTGTGTAAACATACTTGGTAATAAAGCTCTTCTGATTCTGATTCTAAAAGAGGGGACAAAAAGGGTTCTTTCTTTTTCATCTTTCGCATTTTTCCGAATACTTCCTCCTGTCCAGTCAGACACTCTGGCAGAACCCCACACCCATCTCATCCCCCTCATCCCAGCCGTCTGTCTCTTCACCTCTGTTTCCTTCCACTGCTTTGACAGTTGACCCCAATGTTCACACAAACACCTTCACACAGCACACTCTCCTTCCTCCATTAGACACACACTGACACACATACAGCTAGACCCCACATCCACACATGTGACTTTATGAACACGCGCATTCAAACATTTCTTTCTGTGTCTGTCTCTCAGATGATTCCTCTTCAGAGAATTGCAGCACAGCGAACGGTCTGCCTGCACTGACTCCGCCTGGCGGTGCTGCCATGGCGACAGGAGGAGTTCCTGCATCTGAGGGGGTGGTTCCATACGGAGAGGTGAACGGTAATGGTGCCGCAGCGCCGCTGGACTTCAGCACCACTTCATCGTCCTCTTCCTCGCAGGAGGGACAGCAGCCTGTCAACCTGAGCGACAGACTCCCGCTCGGATCCTACGCATCAGACCCCAACAGAAAATTCACTGTTAAAACGGAGTACGGTAACAAGGTATGAGACAAAATTTTTCCACATTATTCTAAGAATTTGTATAAGTTAAAATGTAAAGTAATAGTACGCATAATGGTGTTCAGATTTTGACATACTGTATATTGTACAGTCCCCTCAGTACAGCTCAGGAAGCTATGACTCTGTGAAGACGGAACTGAGCACGTGCGGGGAGGACATGACCCCGGGCCGCTCACAGGTCATAGACGATGATGACGACGATCACGATGACCATGACGACAGCGACAAGATAAATGACGCTGAGGGCCTGGACCCTGAACGACTTAAAGCTTTTAATGTGAGACTGATTCCCTTAACTACTTTATCGCTCATATATTTTATAAGGTGGACATTAGATTTTGTATTTTCTAGCTGTTAAGCTTCAGTTGCCAACATTGCATATGTTTGGAGGTAAAGTGGAGTCCAAAAGTCTGACAAACACATTTGACAGACATTCAAAAACAGAGTAATCTTTTTAAAAATGTAAAGCAAAGAAATTTAATTTACGTAAAATGAATAATAATAATTCATTTATTTTGAGCTATTCTTAAATCATGGTGGTCTGGATTGGGACTAAAGCTAAAACTATTCAAAACATTTTTGTTAATCGAAATAAAGCATAAATAAAATATAACTATTTGAATAAAACTCAAACTAAAAAAGTTTTAAATGCTGCCTTGCCAACTAACTGAAATAGGTTTGGGTTGAAGTTCTAAAATTAATTACTGGAAATAAGTAAAAACTAAAATAAAACTGAAAAACGAATTGAAACCTAATTAGTAATATTTGAAAAAACAAAATATAGCACTAAAATTATACTAGTCTAATTAATATGATCGTCAGGTTTTACACGGACTGGTGGAGTTCATGCAGCTTGAGAAAGCAAGTACGAAGACATACTGAAATTCTTATTGACTTTTTAATTTCCACCTTTCTCTCAAATTGTTATGCTGGTAATATAAATTACATTGAGGAAAAAATCATTTTAATAAAAATAGAAGCATTTCAGTGACCTGCTGAACCCTAATGATTATTTTCCTCTCAGTGCTAAAGTAGAAGATTCTCCACTTACATTTTCTTCCCCCTTCATGCTTACATCTTAATGACAAACATCAGATTAAATTAAATACAATTTTCCTTTTCCTGTTATATGCTCTATCCTTTTCTATTTCCTTTGTTGGACTGCTCTAATATTTCTTTATATTTTCAGATGTTTGTGCGGTTGTTTGTGGATGAGAACTTAGACCGGATGGTTCCAATCTCAAAGCAGCCCAAAGAGAAAATCCAGGCCATCATCGAGTCCTGCAGCCGCCAGTTCCCAGAGTTCCAAGAACGTGCTCGCAAACGTATCCGAACCTACCTCAAATCCTGTCGCCGCATGAAGAAGGGTGGCTTCGAGGTAGGGAGACATGGGAATTTGCACATGTACTGACAAACAAACATGAAAATTATCATGAAATTATCTGTGCTATGACAATATGACAGAAAAATCCAAAACGTTTAACATGAAATTCAAGCGTGAACATTTTTCTGCTACACACCATTTGACAAACTATTGCCCTCTAGTGGCTGATACAGTCACAGCCAGTCAATTTTTAACCCTGGTACTTGATTACCACAGCACTGAACATTATTATTTACCAAGCCTGATTCAACTCATTAGCTCCATGACCTGAACTAAGTGTGCTAGATAGGAAAAACATCCAAAATGTGCACTCTCAGAAAAAAAAGCACAAAAATGTCAGTTGGGTGGTACCCTTACAAAAGTTACTAATATGTACACTTTAGGTACTAATATGTACTTTTAAAGTATTAATATGCACATTTACGTTACTAATTTTTACAATCTAGGGGTAAATAAGGTCCAAAATGTACCTATTAGCCTTTGTACCTTAGGGTACTGCCCCAGTAACAGCTTTGTATCTTTTTTCTGAGAGTGTGTAGCTGTCATGATTGAAAACCATGATTGAGAGTCACTGCTCTTAAAGAACAGGTTCAATGTTTAGCCAATCCATATCTTATTTTCTGCATCTCAGTGGAATTAAATGTAGTCAAACAGGCATTTCTAGAAACTATTGTGCTAGTAGAGCCAAAGACTTACAGAAATCAAATGGGTTTTTTAAAAACATGAATGTATATGAGTAGTTGCAACCAGAAGAATGTATGTCTATACTGTTATTTTCCCCTTTTAAATGATCTTTTGTTAACTCTTTAATAGAATATCCATTTGAATGAGTTCAGTTTCAGAGAAAGGCTAAAATAATACAGATTTTTACTACAGTAATTGGTAACAGTTTAAATAATAATATGGCTTAAAAACACCATCCTGCAAGATTGGAACATTGTAAGAAATTCATAAGGTGATGATATTTGCCCTTTTTCTGCCCTCTCCGATGGTGTCAGACACGGCCCACACCCCCTCACCTCACCTCCGCCATGGCTGAGAACATCCTTGCAGCAGCATGTGAGAGCGAAACACGGAATGCTGCTAAGAGGATGCGCCTTGACATCTATCAGGCCCATGTGAGTGCATGTGTGCATTGATCTCTAGATCTTTAATCAAATTGAATGGATTCCAGAAAATGTTGATTGGTTTTTAGATTACTTGGTGAGATATCCGTGTGTTTCTTTGTCCTTCCATTTTGTCCATACAGGATGAGTCAGTTGCAGCAGACAAGCCTAACTCCAAAGATCCGACTGCTCTGGCTAACTCAGGCTTCACACTGGCCGCCTCGGCCTACTCCCAGGACCAACTCTACACCAATGGTGGACTTAATTACAGTTTCCGTGGATACGGGACCATTGGCAACAGCCACCAAAACAATGGCACATCACAAACCAATGGTGGGTGAAATGCATATTGTAGTAACCCTATTCTAGTCTTTTCTATAGATCTACTAGATAATTATTTTACATAAATGTCTCTTTCTTTTTTTTAGGTCCCACTGATCTCAGTATGAAATCTTTGGCATCCAACAGCACTTCCTCCTCCAGTTCAAACAGTCATGGTCAGGGTGGAGGGGGCGGAGGGGCATCTGCCCAGCTCAGCCCGCCTGAGGTCACGGCTGTTCGGCAACTGATTGCGGGTTACCGTGAGTCTGCGGCCTTCCTGCTCCGCTCTGCTGATGAGCTCGAGAACCTCATACTGCAGCAGAACTGAGAACTGCACACAGGCTGGTGCTGCCCGTCTCTCATTAACACACACATAAATGCACAATATGACAGGAAAGATACATGTAGCTATGTGCACTTACATATATATATATACACCTAAAGCCCATAGGCGGAGTTTGATACCACTTAGGGGGAGCAAAATGGAGGGATCAGAAGAAGCTGTATCTGAAACGCACATACAGGGTACAAAATTAAGAACATTTACCAGCCATAATAATCTCAGGTTCACTGGCCATGAACCTGTATTTTGCATACTTTTTTTTAAACATAACGTTTTATTTAAATGTAAATTATTTATTATTATTATTATTGCATATTTTCAGTAAAAGGCAAAGCACAGGTCATTGTTTCACTTGCTGCACCATATATTGGCCAATTTATATATGAAACGCTACCTCTCATTAAAACTTTAAAGTAATTATGGGGTTCTTAGATAAAAACCTTGAGGTCTATCTTGCAGTGTAACCATGAATAACTGGTAACTTTATTTGGAACGGCAACATAATACATGGATTTTATTTTAATATTTTATTGCACTGTAGTAAAATGTTAAAATAAAAACCATGTATTATGATACCATTCTAAATAAAATTGCCAGCCAAATTTAACTTGCATTTGGCACTTGGCAAGGTTTTTTTTTTTTGGCTGATACTATATAAGGGGCTTTACACAGACTTGTTAATGCACATAGAGGGAATAAATGTACTCAAACAGAAATTGCAGTCACTAGAATCAATGTTTAAGTATCTTGAAGTATCTTGTTGATTCTTGTGCACAGCAAACAAAATGTATTGACACAGAACAAGAAAAAGCAAATTTTGCCCACAACAATATAATTAATGAAAATATCATATATTTATTCATATAATTTAGTAAACGATTTAATATAATTTATTAATGCATTTATGAAGATAACTTTATTTCGAAGCTTTACAAAAGCAAAGATAAAACAGCTCCAGACACTCGAATCCCCCCGAAACCCCCCAAACTCTGCCTATGCTCTTTCTATAAACCTACCTATCACACATTGCTCATGACAGCTTTATGTCCATGATAGTGTCTTTATTAAATTTCCTTACCTTTGAGTCCAGCGAGGCTTAACCCTTTTCAGAGGGCTGAGATGACTTGTTAAACGTGGTTTTATGATGAGATGATCAGAACACAAAGCAAGAGGTGTCTGTACTCACAGCAGCATTGCAAGTGTCTTGCACAGAGCACAATCACACAGTGAGAGCTATCAGTCCACCACAGAGAGTTCAGATTTTGAGACACAAAAAAAAAACAAATAGCTGTAAATGTAAGAGTGATGCCCAAAACATACACAAAATTATGTCATCACCTGCCTAAAGTTTACGCTATGACACAAAATATTACTATCAGATTACAGTCCTATATGTCAATGGCATCTTGTTTTATAGAATCTGAAAAGTTCCTCAGATGTATTAGTTGTTCTCTTACCATAGACATATCCATGCAGCAGCTTTGCTCCAGATATAGCCATTTTAGATATAGAACAGATCTAAGAGAAAAGGGTTTTTGTAAGATCTCTCTTCTTCTGTTCAATGCTAATGAGGTTTGGGGAGAAGGTGCAATGTAGATGATAATCGTTATAGTGTGTCAGTGTCTGAAAATCTATCATTTTCAATCATTAAAAGTCTACGAAAAGAAACCGTGATTAGTGAGTGCAAAAAAGAAGATGCTGAAATTCTATTGGCTGGGAATGTTGGACATTATGCAAATGAAGCTGTGCTGAGTTGAACGCTTTGAACCCTTTCCTAAATGCTCAATTGCCTTGGCAAACCTCCATCCTCAGCACATCCATGCACTGTAGGAACACGAGCGACATCGACCTCCCAGACAAGAGGGCCGTAGATGGACTTGTTAAAAAAAAATCAGAAAAAAAAAGAACAAGGACTGCATTTCCCATGCTGCACTGCGTCGAATACACATTCTGTTAAGTTGTGAATGCTGCTCTTTTTTTCTAACCTCATGACTGAGACACTTTCATCTTCACGGGAACCAATCAAAACAGAGGGACTTAACATCCTATTGGCACACATACTGTATATGCATAGTGAGTTTGAGAGAAAGGACCTAATATTAGCAGAAGGGAAACAAAGGTGACATCCATTCCTTTCAGTCAGCAACAGCCAAGAGCTTAAAGAGGCATTGATTGGTGGACTAAGGTAGCATCATCCACAGGAACCGAGTGTAGAACATTGACGATGCACTGCCTCACTCTTCCTCCTGCCTGCATTTTCTCATGTTCACAAATGCCATCGTTAAAAAACTGTATGTAAAAAAAGCAAAAGACAATCCTGAACAATTGTGACTTGATCCCTCGGAAAACGGCATAGTGTTGTGTGAGATCTCACTCTGACTCTCTAGCCTTTAGTGGAGTGGTGACAATACAGGGCCTTCAAGTCTTGTAGCCATAGCTTGAACCGTGTCCTCACTCTGCAACATGAGCATTTTCCTCTGTTTAGCTGCAAACATTCTTTTTTTTATTATCTGGGTATATTTATTTCTGTCTTGCCATTCCAGTTGTGCTTTATTTGTTGTTTTGTGTTCCTTTTTTATTTAGTAAATGAAATAGATTTTTTGTTGACTTTTTCTTTAAAAACTCCGGTTGTAGGACACTGACAGTCTGAAGGGAATCAATGTTACGAGTCTCAACATTCCAAATGTAAAACATGCATCACAGATTGGTCTCCAAATGACTGAATACGACATCCAAATGACGCAACTTCTAAAGAGAAAAAACTCTAAGTTGTCTTCAACAGCTTAGTTTTGATACGTGGCTCAAAGCCTGCTTATTACCTCTTACTTGTTACTCATTAGATTCATCGATGAACAGATGAAATGATATGTGCAGGATCATTAGGTAAGATACATTCAGATGTTACACTTTATAAATTATTAAATTGGTTAACATAGTAGCACTTTACAATCCGCGAAGGAAAAATGTTTATGGGATGGAGCCTTAAAACCACCTAAATGATCCTAAATTATGAAATGCAGCTGATCATTCTAAAGCCATAATGTTCTGTCTTTATTTGCTCTGCATTGTAATTATTTGTTCCCTTACACCATGCAGGAGAATGTGAACCCGTCAAGCATTGGGCTTTGAGTTGAGAAAAGGAAAATATATCTGGGCTTATTCGAATGAAATGGTGATTGCAAGAAAGCGAGCATTTGAATTTACTTACACCAGAAATATGTTGGTGTATTGAGAGTTCAAAAGTTGTACCAGGCCATTGATCTTTGTTTGTTTGGACTTTTTTGTTCCTTGTTTTGTACATTTTGTTTCTAAATGACATTAGAAGTGTAAGATTTTTAGGAAGCTGTCTGGACATCTGAGGCTGGTGAACACACGACACATGAAAAGGAAAAGGCAAGAAATTCTACAACTTTTTAAAAAAAAATTAAACCGTGCAGCTAAACTCTGCAATCAAATGTGGTAACAACCATTTCCTGTGATATATTTTAATTTTGTGGTGCTTTGTAATATTATTATGATAATGGTATTTTATTTGTTTTTACTCCTGTACTTATTAGGAACTGTAGGCTGAAGCTCAGTTTCTCTTTGTATACCAGTGTGAAGCTTTGTATGATTTCTTTCTGGTTTTTTGACTCAGTGGAAGTGTGTGATGTTTACATGTACAGAATTTAAGATTTGTTTGTTGTTGCTTTAATTTCTGTTGTTGTTGGTTTTGTTTGTCCTAGTAAAGCCCTGCCTATCGTCCTGTTGTGACCTCACAATGTGCTTTTTACTTTAAATCAAATCTGAATGGAGGAGAACATGGACATGCTGAACTTAAACCCCAGTAAAGGCCTTTGCACGCTTTTTGCATCAATCTCTGTATATTTATTTTCTCAACTTGTTGCTTTATTCCATGCAAATGTTTTTTAAAGACGATTAAGAACATTTTGTGAATTGTGAGTTATTAGCTATGCTTTTGTTTTTTCCTTTGTCAAACTTCAGTTTCACATCCAGTGCAAAACGTTGTCTGTGTAAGGGCCTTTAGACGTGGTTGTCACTACTGATGGTAGATGCCGAGGGCGAGAGAGAGGAGGGACTTATCATCAGCTCAAAGGGCACCACTAATTTTCTTCTCCACAAATGTGGGAGTAAAATGCCCCCTTACAGTAGTCCCTTAGTTATTTATGCTTGTTCTAGAGAAAAAGCAAAAGACAAAACTCTTGATGTCATGTCATTTTTTTATATTATTGGGAATATAGATAGGGGCATCGTGTTTGGGATGGGGCAGATCCACCCAACTCATAAACCAACTGACCTGTGCTCTTTGACCTCAGTCAGAAGCCTCTCAGTGAGTCAGAAAGCCATTCCCCTTACACTGTTCTTATGTACGGGACACATGCAAACCTCAGGAACCCTTTGGATCTGTGTTACTTTTTTTAACCAGGTCTGTACGTCTTGGCTGACGAGTCCTCCCTCTCTCCAATATCAACCCAATTATATTGGATTTGCTATGTATGTGTTTTGTTTGTTTTTTTATATATTTATTGTGATTTCAAAGTGAATCCAGTACATGTGGCTGAATATTTGAATTCTTTAGAAAAGTGTTGATAAGCATAAATATATATATAAATATCTGTGAAGCGCCTAAAAGATGGAGAACCTGGCAGGTGAAATTAATTTCTGTTTGTTTAATGTAAAAACAAAGAAAAGAAGAAAAAAATGAAAAAGCACAGGTGGGTGAATTTCCTGCCTTTTACATATCACTTTGCCGAGAGACTCATTCTAAGACATTTTAAAGTTTTCAGTGTGGTGTCATCGCTGTGGTCAGAGAAAGCACCTGCAACCCGAGTTGCTCTTTCCTCCAGAGCTGTCTGAATAAAATCTGTGAACTGAAGTCACATTGCAGTCTGCCTTTTTTTTAGTGGCCATGATCACTATTTTCTTGTCCTATGTCAGCATCATGAAGAGCCGGTGTTTTTGTAGTTTAGTCTGTTGTTTTCCCTGAGCAGGATGCAATGTAAAAATTGAAGCACTATTTAGAGTTCCTCAGCTCACATCGCCACAGTGCTACCATTTGGAGAAACTCTAGACTGCTTTAATTGGAGTCTAAAACTTTTTCCTTATGATGGCATTACTGGAAGAACTGCAGACACTCTCTAGAGTTCTTGCAGAAACTTTCACGGTTTTGAAAACTGCCCTTTTTGAAAAGAGTCTAGAAATTCTCCAGAGGGTTCTGGCAGCGTCTCAAATCTGTAAAACCCCATATGGTGGCTCAAGTATCTTTTTTTCCCCCGCAGTGTTAAAAACTGCAGCTTTTCTTATGATGCAATGAAAAGAGGCCTCATACTATACTGCACGCAAGTGTACAAAATGTATTACATTATGGCAAAGATAATCATCTCAAAGGCAAATTGGAACAGTATCCCAATTTACCTAAATTCATTCAACATATTAGGCCTATATAAAGTAAAATCTACAAATATCTGTCTAATCTTGCTCACTTTTTTATTAATGTAGGAAATGAATTGTTTCTGTCATATATGCATACTA